CATATAACATCCAAAAACATAACAACCCATTTTCGAAATGTTTCGCGATTACAATACGTCCTCGCCCTTTGGTGCAGAAACTGAAAACTGCAGAGGCAGTTAATATTATAAGTATAAAGAATAATGGTGAAAATTAACAACTATGCATTCATGTGTTTAGTTAGATACCTATGCTTAATTTCTTAATAAAAATCTACTGATACTTTATCATTGTTTTAAATATTATCATAATTTCATAACAGTCTTTTTTTTCATTAAGTCAATGTAAGTCGGCCTCGATAACATGATACTAACTTTGTATAATGTAAATGTAAATTAATTTGGATAATGGTTTGATTTAGACTAGAAAAAGCATGAAAAATTGCACAATAAGGTAACAATGAAATAACGAGGCTTGAGTATAGTTTGTCTATTTATGCATATAAATATTATACATACACAAGTTTCTAGAGTTTTTGTTAAGTGAAATTAATTTTTGGAAGTCTGACCAGGAGCCACATTTTTAAAGCTTGATTAAACGGTTAACTTAAAATAGATGCAAGCGATTAAAAGAAAAAAGCCAGTGTTGATCGAATGAGAATTTCAAGGAAAATAATATCTTATGAAAACGTTGAAATTTGGTGTACGAAGATTCATTTGCCGATAATAATTATTTATATATTTAGGGCGCAAACTGGGGGTTTATGAACTGCGACATGAAATTGGAGCCCAAAGTATGATGTGCTGCGGGAACTAACATACCTGAGAATTACAAAAAATAGAAATTATAAAATGGGGAGGAAAAAATCACCATACTATGTCAGCGAATGCCGACAGTTACAGCAGTTTACCTAGCAATAACAAAAAATTGGACAGTTTTCGTAATCGATGAGTATAAGTCGATTTAAAGATAGCTGGCGCTATAATAATATATATAAAATGCCTTTAAGAAAATCAAAAATATCATTCAGTTTAGTTTTTTGCTAAGAAAAGGATTTCTATCCATGCTCATTTATGATGTATTCCTCTAATATTTTGCATCTTTACAAATTCCTCCCGAATATCTGGTTTACATGGTAGATGTTATGTAGATGTAACTCCATCCAACAAATTATTATGTATCATTTACAAACGACGGACTTCCAGTGGACCATTTCGTGTGGTATTTTTAAAACTGTTTTGGTAGGTTTCTGACTGACACTGATAGAGATGACAGAGTCAATTTTTTTAACACGCCGCATAATATAGCGAGTTCGCGGTTACACAAAATTGCGGATAACTTAATCCTCAATTATTTACACTCCACATTCGTCTAATATTACACGTATACCACAGCAATTTCTATGATAACAGTACATAATGTCAGGAAAAAATAGATTTGCGATCTGCTCTAAATTCTTCATTTATACCATGTGCAACTGCGCACTCTAATGTCATATTCCGGGATATCATATCGAGTATTCACCACAAACGGTAATGGCACTTTATTCTCGTTGCATTCCATCTAGAAATGTGAGATTTGAACTGCACATCCAATACTCATAGTTTGAAGGTATGAATTTACTGAGAGACTTTGTGACATTAAGCATAACTCAAAGCGCTTGAAGTTCGTCATAGAAGTTCAATAAAAACTGAGTGAACCTACTAGTTTAAGTGCTCACCCATCTTTGGGTAGCGGTTGTTTTTCAAAGATAGGAATCTTCTAAGAAACGGAACGGCAACTTGATAGATCGCAGCCGTTGCCTTATCTATTAGATATATTTTTGAAATTGTAAAGAAAATTAGACTTAAGGTCGCTTAAAGATTGGAATTTGAATATGATTTACTTCTTTCAATGCAAAGTAGCACCTGCTAGGCGAGTAGAAGGGTGTGCAGGGTGTTTCTAAAACCCGTGACAAAAGCTCAAGATATGATTCTATGGTTTGGAGTCTATTCTGTCATTAGACATTTTCGAAATACTACTTTGTTTATGAGATACAGGCTCTCAAATGATGCTACAGGATTTAGATTTTTCTTAAGTAACCTTTGAAAAATATCGTATACATTATATACATAATGGAACAGTTGACTCATTGAGTTCGCTAGGGATCGACCAGCCCTAACATATTTATTGCTAATTTTTACACACTGCGTAATAACGGTTGAAAAGTGCTGATATTTTTCGTCGAAATATGCTACAAGCTGATATCCGTAAAATTGAGAATTAAAATTGTATCGTTAATGTGTAGCATCACAAGGTTTGAGCCAAAACGAATCCCTGAAGAATACTTGCATAAACATTATGGGATGAAATGGAGAATGATCTACTCAGCTGATCTTTCTTCTTTTTCTATTGGTATAATTAATAATGCATATTTGGTATTTACATTATTCTAATCTTGTACATGTAGAGTTCGTATCGTGTCTTCGTCACCATGAATTTACTTGATATTTCTTTAAAAACTGTTAAAATATGATGATTCATTGCTCCCTCGAAAGGTGAACGTTCATTTTATTTCATCTGCATTGGAATATTTTGCGAAACGCAATGCATTATTAATTGCAGTTACCGATGAACATTGAGAGGTCATCAATCCATCAGATAAGGAGCATTATACGACTAAAAATTTTTGCGCGCCCGCCATATAAAAACAGCGTGTTCCAGTGACGTGCATGTGTTTTGACTATTCTTCATTCCATAATATCTGGCAGGTCTAGAAGCGCCAGTTATGCTTGATCAAATGCATATTTTTTAAGAACATTAAGATATTATATGAGAATCATTATTTTTGTCATCCCATCAGGAGCATTTTCCAGGCGAAACGTTGGACCATGCCCCTCAGGGTCACCACGTGAACGAGAAAATTTCATCGAACATTTTTCTGGTTATGCCAGTAGATTCGTTGAAATAGCGACATCATTACCCCTAAAAAATGGCGTCAAGTAAGTTGACTCCGCACTTCCCAGCCAACGCCGTCATCAGCTCATTAAGGATCAGGTTCAGCGCAAGACTCTCTCAGAAAAAAATAGTTACGAACATGTATAATTAAACGAGTTAAGACAGTCAAACAGGCCCATGCAATTATTTAGTCCAGAGACATTCTTCTCCTGCCCTACCGGTAATACCGTCCATCTTGCAACGTCGGTTTTCCTCCATACCTGACCACACAACGCGGCACTGCGGCAATAGTGATAGTGTCATAACACTTATCGGGATCGGACACCCGTCGGTGAACCCAGAGAGTAGAACCAGAGACGCGTATCGAAAACATTTCTCTACCATTCCAAGTTTTGAATGCAAATGTGCAAGAAAATCTACGGTGTGTGGAATATATCTAAGAGGTGAGTAGCGTAAAAATATAGTAACAAAAAATGAGATTTACCTTCGTCTACTCCCTACAACCGCCAATTTATAGCTACAACAATTTTTTTTCTCAAATGATAAGAGACCTATGAAATGTCAAACGATTGAAGTTTGAGCGATTTCTACTTTTTTTCGTATTTTCCAAGTTATAGGATTAGTGGACAGACAGACCGACAGACTGGACGATGTCCATAAGTGACAAGGTGTTTCGTGATGTATATGCTCAAAAAACATTATGTCTCATTTCGCAATTGCCAGAAACCGAAAACAGCTCCAGAGCAGACATTCTAACTTAAAAGAGGCTCGTTATTTTACGGAGGCCTTCGATCAGGTGAAAATTTTCGTTCTGTGGTCTTTCAGACAGGAATTGCAGACTCTGCTTCTGGTCGTAAAATACTTATTTGTCGCATCATATTTAACCGGACAGCAGTCGACCGAACAAACAGCCAGACTTTCTCTGTGACTTGAAGGTTATCATTACGCAAAGGTGCAGTAATACGGTGCAAGATTCAATACTTTATCCCAACTAATAATAAATTCATGCTGAATACTTAGGATCCGTTTGTTTCCCGTCTCTGCAACCATAACCGACTGCATACAACCTTATTTCATGTCTTTTAGTAATCATCAGTAGAGTCTAGGTGGCATGCCGCCTTTGTTTTGTTTTTCGCACTCAACCACACCATTAAGTTCTTCAATAGAACCATTTATTAAGAGGCGATTTTTTCCAAATAGTTTGTGGCCCATCACGGTAGGAAATGAATCTACTATCAAAACTATGAGTTTAAAATGTGCGAGGCTACTATTTACTAGTTTGAAAAAAATGGTACACAGAATTTGTCACACATACAATCGCAAAAACGGGAAAATATACAAATCACACAGTGTTTCTGGCTCCGTAGCTGGAATTATCTTTTTAGACCTAGAAGCCTACATTTGAAGCCTACGCCAACCTCTCATATATATGCTACTACATTTTGAGATGCCAGGGAACTGCATTTTCTTGCTGCAGTACCGCGCTTGAAGAAACTATTCATTCACCTTTGTTTTATTTTTCGTAATAATAAGTATTGAAACATCCCGTTGTGATTGAGCATTGAAGGTAGAATATAAAAACTATCCCAGCACGAGGAAATTTGATTCACAGTTTCGCTCATGACAGCACTCTGCATGAAACGAAAGACTTGCAGGGTAACAGTACCTGGAACTATGTAAAGCTTATGATACTTCTGCTATCTTAACCAATGGAAATACCCTCACGAAAATCAGATTTTGATGGATGACCTAGCTTTACGTAAATATATTTGGTAGGAAGTAACTGGCTTATCTGCCCAGAGCTAGAAAGTACTCTTCACTAGAGTTCAGATAGACTAGGCATTGAATACCTCGTCTGGTTCGCCGATGTTTTGACTAAGCTCTGCATACCTTAAGTAGTTGTCAGAAGGATACTCAGATTTGCGCCCAATAGCATGCCAACACGATGTTATCGAATCGCAGACTTTGCATCCAAGTGTTACTTTTTTCTATTCATGTGTCAACGTTAGCCTGTTTCTCTTACATGCGGCGCTACTGTACCAATTCGACACACTTTTAATAACCTGACTTTTAAAGCTGTGTCGCCAACATTCAGCAAGTCCGACAACGGTTCAACGCAAAACACAATCATCAATTTGTTTACCTGTCGGTATTGGCGTGCTGTGACTCGAATCCTGATGAGGGTCGTAGTAGTTCGCAGTCTGCGGGCTGTACGGGGCATACGTGTTCGTGTAGTCTGGCCAGGAACCACCTGGACAGTGGGTAGTACCGCCATTCAGGCAATCTGAAATGAATTTGTATTAATTAATGAGATAAGACCTTAAAAGAGTAACCTGTTGGTGCCAAAAAAATATTTGCGCCATATATACCTTATTTATACAGGGTATCCGCAAACTTGGGGTTTTCTTCTTCAGAAACAACTACCCTTGAAATAACAAAGGTAATGTGTAGTGAAACGAGGGCGACCAAGTAAAAAAAAATAAAGGAAAAAGTACTCACTCTCCAGTTGACGAGAAGGGCTAAGTACGTCTCTGCCCGAAATGATACCGCTCCAACAGAAAATGAAATCAGCTGATGCGCTACCGAGCAGACGCAGAAACCACATAGATTGTCTTACACTTAATGGCACATCTTCTAACAAGGAAGGCAAAATGTTGAGTAAAAAGGCTAGGTATTGCATCCAGTCCAATCGATTTGGGAGAATAAATGGTCCAATGAGCATACCGTTCACCATGCCAGCCCAAACATTCACCGGAAATGTTTGTTGAAAATGTGCCCGACGGACAGCGTGCGCATTTTCTACTGACCATGAGTGTTGCGAAAGTTATTCACCCCATTACGCGTGAACGTAGATTCGTCTGTCACCAATATGCACTTCAAAAACTCCGGATTATTGTCATTTGCCACACTTTAGTTTTTGATACTTGCACTTCTCCAGCCACGTCTCTAGTGCTTGTTGAGGGATTCTCGTCTACGCGATTACCTCTACACGCGTGACCGTAACCGTCGGTTGAAGGTTGCATACTGACCTGACACACTGACCCCGACCCAGTTCTGTCGTCGGGTTCAGCCAGTCACCTTGTACCACTCGGTGATGTCGCGGCTACAGGACGGTATTCAGATATTTTTGATGTTGCAGAGCCCTTTATCTCGGTTCCCTTAAGACATTGGTGTATATGGTACAAAGAAAAATTGCTTATGTTTTCAAGATCTACACGTCGTGTAAAGGAAAACCCCAACTTTGCGGACACCTTGTATATAGAAATAAATAGTAGCTAATCGTATATTATTCCTTTTCACTTGGTCAAAAGTCATATATGACCATTAATGTTTCAGTGATATAAGCCCTTACTTCCTCGATGATCAAGAATTATTTCTGCAGCTATAAATATCACTAAGGACCGATTGACAGATTATCCTCATCCTAATATTGCTGATTTATATTTTACACCCTGTATAATAATGTCCGAACGGTGACACTTTAGGAAAACAGCTAAAACATACAGTACTTAATTCTGACAATAAATTCTTGATCAGTGGACCGCGGAACCCTAGGACGTAAGTTTTTAGATCTCTTGACTGAATGTTAGTGTCATGTCGATTTTTTTGCGGGAATGAATAGAATTGAATTAGGATTGTTTTTTCCCTGAAAAAGAACTTTTATGGAAATCAAATAAGAACACGTTTTCCAGATATATGCTTCCCAAAATATTATTTTAAACAGTGTGTGAAAAATACCAAGTGAGATCTCTACTTGTTAGTAACCGTTCTGGATTATACAGTGTCATTCAAAGCTCTTTTACGAGCCTAGTATCTACATTGAGGAGCCCAATTTTGAGTTGTATTTGTATCGGAGAAACCCCCATCTTATTCTGGCTCACTCTGTACATACAATGAATTATATTGTTGTTTTATAATAAATATTGATAACGACCTTCAGAAGGACAAAGAATACGGCACGGGACTTCCACTGAACATTTCAGATGAAAGAAATAAGCATTCAATAAAGATGCAGAATAAATTTGCTTTTCGCCTGGCAAGGTTAAGCATGCAGCTTATGCTCAATCTTAATTTACAAAATAATACATTTAGTATGAAGCGTATCAATACAGGTAACAATAAGGTGAACACTCGGGATATTACTGCCTTCTAAATTAATATAATGTAATGGTTAAAAGTGCAATTTGTGTTTCATTCTGTTAATTATCATGCTTAGAAATAAGCTGTTATAGAAAGTAGTTTGGATTTTATAAACACTGAAGGGGAATTCCACTATAAAAAATGCAACGTAAATATTGATTTGCTAGAGAACAACGTAATTTTCTAGAGGTTCCCATGAATCGTGATTCTGAAAAATTACATCAGCTGTTTTACGTGTTTTCCAATAATTATAGTTTTATAGACTCGGCATATTCACATATGACAGCCATTTCTGTATTAGAAGCGCAAAGTTCCACTTTGCCACTCGATAACTACACTTGGTAATAGCGAGAGCCCAACTGTTTTGCACGCGTATAGCACACCATAAGATTTTTTCTAAAACAATAGTTGTTGATCATTTTCTTTCATATTTTATAGTTATAAAATTGATAAGAACCCATTGTTAGTATTAAACGTGGAGTTCTGATATTGTGGAAGCGATCCATCGTCCATCTGACCGGAACCATTTTTCATAGCTACCTATTTAAAACATTTTCTAACAACTATAAAATGTCAAACATTCTAGTTTGATCCATCACTATTTATCATCGAATATGACCCTGAAGCCTGGACGTCAGGATTTATTGATATATAAGGTTACGTAGAAATTTAGTATCGCTGTCAGAATAATCCATAAATACTGATGGTATGGCCCATAGTGAATACTGATCATACGTTATTTGCCTTAAATAGGCAAAGTGGAAGTCTAGGTAGGTGACCATAGTAACTAATAGTAACAAGTGAATATTTTTGCTGATTTTCCGCTCTAAAGCGACAAGACCATTTGCGATCGTTTATTGGAAAACGACAACTTTGCGTGACAGATTGCGAGCAATAATTAATACTTTGTCACGTGCTTTTTGAACATATATCCTTCTAGTTATATTACTTCGTTTTTGGAACTCGCGAAATTCTTATATTCCAAGAACAGAAATAGACAAAACCGCAACGCACTATAAAAGCAATAAACGTAAGACGTGACTTTTAGAATGGCACTTTCTTATGAAATTTAATACGGAATAATATGCATATCAAGATTGGAGAGGACATGGATTTTTATTATCAACGCTTGGTTTCCGTTTTCTTGGTTTGCCTAAATTTCATATTTTCAGACCGACATACTTCTTTCCGCTCAAACTGAACAAAAAATCTTTTGTTCCAACCGAGGTAACCGGTTTTTTATTTGCTTAAAACTCATCAAAACAAAACACAAGGGCTACCATGAACTGCGTATGGACTTTCTCCAACTTTTCAACGCTGCACAGTCTCCTTACGCCCGAATTGGTCAAAAGGTCCCTCGTTTTATTTGAGATATCCGCCAATCAAGTCTCTAACCACTTCCTTCCCATTTGCTTCAAACTCTTGATGACAATTTGCAAAGGCTACCATGACGCACCTGGAATATTCATTAAATTTAATACATCATTTCTCCAACTGTTGTACGTTTCACAATTCTCTTGTTTTATCTGATATATCCTTCATTAATTTGTTTGCTCACAACAGCTACCAGAAAGCGCTTGAAATCTTCAGCAAATTAAAAAGATAATGCTTCCCGTTTGAACTGCACACATAATTTCTCGTTCTATCTGAGCGATCATTTTTATCAGTTTCCTTCATATTATATTTCGTTTAACCCTTCCATCACAATTCACAAGCTAAGTAAGCGTCTGGAATGTTCGGTAAGGGGCCATTCAAGTATTACGTGAGCACTATGGAGGGGTCTTTGCTTTGCTTATTTTGGATGACATTGGGGGGTAGGGGAGTCCAGATGATGATTACGTCATCGGTAGTTATTTACTTTTTTACACGAATGGCAACCCTCACATTGTCTTTGCTTGAAAACGAATCGCATTTTCGGGGATTCCCGCAAATAATGCATACGTTTAGTGAACAGCGCGCGGTAATTCCCCTACTCGCTTTAGAACCGAGTAGGGGAATTACCGCGCGGTGTTCACTTGTCTAAATTTCCTCTATCAGTGTATTGTTTCGTTTGGATACTATAGCGAGTAGACGTATTGAAAGCATAGTAAAGCAAGTTAACATTTGTGTTTCCATTAGCCAAAGTTTAATGTTTAAATAAGATGTCGTTTCACATAGACAAATCCAAGTTATACCAAAAATTGTTTGAAAGTTTAAAAACATCTTATACAAGTACAAAAGTACAAAATGTACAAAAGTTAGTTAACGAAGTGTGGCGAAATTAAAAATTACAAGCAAAATCCGACAAGGAACTAGATATTATTGTATCTAAGAGAATCGAAGAAGAATTGCAAGCGGCGACTAAGAATAAATCCAATCTACTAAATTTTTTTTCTAAGGTGAGTGACGAAATCATTTTAGTTACCTATGAGTACTGGAAATATTAGAAATCGCCAAAAAGTGTCTCTTTAGATTAAAAAATATTACGGCCTATCTCAAAGTATAGAGGTAATATTCATTATATTATAGATTTATTTCTTATGATTGATTCCGTCAATTGGTCACAAAGTTCAGGATGTTAGTTTTATACATATATACAGAAAACTAACACCCTGTATTTTGTGACCGGAACGAATTGCTCGTTTAAACATATTAGATTTAAAGCCATAGGGTTTTGTATTTACCATATATATTGCCATACTTTGTATTTATGTAGCTTAATAAGAGAATCTTTAGCAGAAGCCATAGAAAGTTTTTATTTTTAGGCAACCTGTAAAACTGCAGAAAAAACACAAATTATACAGCTTGAACTATTAAAAAAGAGGAAGAAGATAAAATAAAACCCGGTAATGAATCACAAAAGCAATGCGAAATTAACGAAAATATAGGAAGCTATGAAAAATAAGATTGCCCTAATCGAAAAAAATCTGAATGCTTTGTATTCTGCCAGAGATACTATGCCAAGCCGTGCTGAAGTTGATAAACAGATCATTAAGTTGCGCGAGGAAATAAAAACAGCAAAACAGTCTTTAAACAGGAAGGTTCAAAATGCAGTTGCCCAGAAGAAACACAAGGATGGTATGAAAAGAAAGTTTCAAGATATTTGTCATGAAAATCCAGAAATAAAAAAAAGACCATCTCTGACGGATTCAGTGGGACGTCCTAATCTTGAAAGCAATCAATATTCACTATT